TAACATTCAAAGTGTTTAATTTCTAAAAGTATTTTTAGAAGATGCTACAGTCTGTGTATGCGTTTATGGCTACATTTCAGTTTCTGTTAAGCAAACCGATCTGAAGGCTTTAAATTTGTCCTAGCAGCAGCACCGAGCTACCCAGAGGATTTTATTTCAGGCTTCGCTGCCAACTTACACGGAGAAGAAATGCTTCACCAGTCTTCTGAAAAACACACAATTTATTCCTGATAAAAAGAACTTCTTGAAAATCTCCACCAGTCAGACAAAAACATTCAAACCCTAAATAGTCCTCAGTGTTGGACGGACCGGTCAGGACTGAAGATCGGATCGGTGCAGACAGGACCGTCGGTCGGAGCTGAAAGAGCAAACAACACCTCCTTCTGTAAAGCCACTCCTGTCATTTAACACGAGCACCTACAGAAAAAGCTCCCAACTCGCCGTGAGAGGCGGCGTTACTGCAGCCCAACAGAGAAGAAACTGTTTTGTTCTTTGTGGAAGTGAATTTTAACCATCTTTGGACCCCATCGTATCTTAAAATCCATTTTCTAAACAGCTGACGTGCTGCAGTTTGTTTCACAGCTAAACAAACATTTATTTACATAATATTCTGAAGGTCCCTTAAAAATGCTTGTTGAAGAAATTCGCTCAATATCTTGACAACAGAGATCTGTCAGCAGATAATGAATGAATGAATGAATGAATGAATGAACTGAAGTGAATCCTGCAGAGCAGATCCTCTGATATAAACAGCCTTAGGAGATCAGATTTAAAGACAAAGTTTTAAACGCCAGATTTTTCACTAATGCAGTGTTTCCCCTACCTTTATACAAGAGGGTGCCCCACCCTGTCAACAGAACCAAACACCCTGCCTACAGAACTGCACACCTCACCCCACTCCCAGATAGGCCTGTCGCGATAAACAATAAATCAATTAATCGCATGATAAATGAAAATTATCCACCTCATTGTCATTTATCGACTTTATCGTTTCTTCGTGTCTCTCTCTTTCTACTGAAGACACTGGATGATAAAAGTGCTCTTCACTGACCCCTCCCTTTCTCTTTTCTCTTTAAAATCCATTTCAACCGTTCGAAAATCGTGTTTTTGGATCGTTAACAGCAGCTAACCTGAGAAGCTAAGCTATGAGCTAAGCTAACAGGCCGACCTCTGGGAAAACACCGCCGTCTTGTCGAAGCTCCAAACTTCACGGTTGAAACCCGTGTCTTAGTCTAAAAAGTTGTTTTTCTCCGCGCAAAGAAGCTGAGAACTTGTTTACCGATTTTTTTAATTAAAAGCTGTGTGTGAAAAATGCTATGCTAAAGAGCTCAAACCACACCGAGCGTCAGCCATTTTGAGAACTGAAGAGAGACAGCCCATTCATTCTACCTTTATTTAGACAGATAATTCCCATTGAGCCTCGAGGACTCATTTACAAGAGAGACCTGATTTCAACAAAGAATGATGACAGCAATGAACAGCGACAACAATAAACAGTTATAAAAAGGCATACTGATTTTATTTTATTTTTTACAAATAAGAGACGGCCCATGTCACGTCAAGGGGTTCCCTCCCATTTTACTTCAAGAGACACGCTGCTCGCTCCCTCACTATCCATCCTTCGGTTCAAACCATTGTATACTGCCATCCAGTGGTTGAAAAAAGGTACTACATGCAAAACAATTTAACCAACATTTCTTCTTAAATTTGACAATAATTACTAATTATTGTCAAATTTCAAAGAATATTATCGTTTATCGCAATAATTTCTGAGCTAATTAATCACCCAGAAAAATTTGTTATCATGACAGGCCTACACCCAGCACTGACATAGTGGTAAGACAGCTGTGTGCAATACAGACACGCTAGCTAAAGAACTACAGAGGTAGCGCTCCATTTCCCTCATGCTGAGCTGTCCCCCCCCAGTCCACCTGATCGAAAAACACAGACATGCCTCTATCTCTAATCCCCCACCCCCCACCTTGTGATCTCCGACAAAAATTACTTCTGTTCTTTATAACTAGGATAAATAAAAAACACCTTGGAATCCTCCCAGAAGAGCTGGAAGAGGTGGCTGTGTAAAGAGATGCCTGGACCTTCTTTTAACCGTTGATGCAGGAAGCTGTGCTGTTTTAGTGCTTTTAGACCTTTGATACTGTGCACCACAACAACTTGGTGTCACGACTTGAGCAGGTGGTTGGTATTAAAGGCACAGTTTGATCCTGGTTTAGATCCTACCTGACTGACAGGAGTTGTTCTGTTCATTTAGTGGAAAATTCTTAATCTGCGGCTCCTTTAATTTGTGGGGTCCCTCAAGGATCTATTTTAGGTCCACTGCTTTTTTAGCTTTCATGTTGCCTTTGGGGTCCATTTTTAGAAAGCATAACATCCCTTTTCATTGCTTTGCTGATGACATTCAGCTGTATCTGCCCATTAAGTCAGACAGGATCACCCCACTGGAACCATTCTTGAAATAAATGATAAAAGTCTGGTTGAAACTAAATTTTCTGAATATAAATGAAAATAAAACTGAAGTCATCAGCTTTGGTAAATGTAATGCCCTTGAAACTCTTGGCCCCTTGGCTTCATACGGCTGCTCCACTTTCAGGAATCTGGGGGTTACTTTCAATAGTGCTTTTAAATTAGACAAACAGACAAAGAAAATTTCCACCTTGGTAGACAAAGTTTTATCTCATCTCATCTTAAATCTCTACATGCAGTTGAGAAATCCAGTTTCTTCCAACTACGACTCATTGCCAAGGTGAAGTCTTGTCTCCCTTTCAGGGACCTTGAAAAGGTGATTCATTATTTCATTACCTCTCGTTTGGACTATTGTAATTCATTGTACGTTGGTTTAGCTAAATCATCTCTGCATCGTACTGCACGGTGGCGCAACTGGTAGAGCTGCTGCCTCTCAGCCAGCAGGTCCCCGGTTCAAACCCCAGTCCGGGGCCCTTTCTGGGTGGAGTTTACATGCTCTCTCCGTGCATGCGTGGGTTTTCTCCGGGGTTTCCTCCCACAGATCAAAAACATGCATGTTAGGCTGATTGGTAACTCTAAATTGCCCCTAGGTGTGAGTGAGAGAGTGAATGAATGATTGTCTCGTTTGTCTCTATGTGTCCCTGTGATGGACTTGCGACCCGTCCAGGGTGTCCCCCACCCCTTGTACAGTGGTTGCTGGACATGGGCACCGGCGACCCCAGTGACCCAAAATGGAAGAAGCGGGTAAAAGATAATGGAATGGATGGATCTCTGCATCGTTTACAAACTGTCCAGAACGCAGCAGCTCATCTTTTAACAGCGACTAGAAAATATGAACACATAACCACTGTCCTGGCCTCTCTCCACTGGCTTCTTGTCCACTTCAGGATTGATTTTAAGACTTTATTGCTTGTTTTTAAAGTCTTTAAAGGTCTAGCCCCATCAAATTTATGTGATCTTATTAACATCTACATTCCAGTAAGAGCATTCCGGTCTGCCAACCAGTTCTTAGATGACCCCAGATCCAAACTGAAGTCCAGAGGTGATCAGGCTTTTGCAGTTGCTGCTCCAATATTGTGGAACAGTTTACCTGATCATTTCAAGACCGCAGAGACTGTTGAGACTTTTAAATCTTTGCTTAAGACTCATCTGTATTCCTTGGCGTTTGATCCATGCAGAGTTTGAGAACAAGTTAGAGCTGATTTTTCTTGTTGTTGCATTTGTTCTTCCTGAGTGGCACAAGATGTAGTTGCTATTTTTTATTCTTATTACTTTCATTTTAATTTGACTAAATTGTAAAGCACTGTGGTCAGCTTTTGTTGTTTTTATGTGCTATATAAATAAATTGACATTGGCCTTCCCACTAAAGCTGCTGACCGACTTCAGAACAAGCGAAAGATGACGATGAAGATGGATGGATTGAAGGATGGATAAAATAATTCAGCTTTAAGCTTTTCTTTACCTGGTCGATGATTGCATCTAGGGTGCTGAGCAACAAGAAGCCCCGCCCCCTGACCAGGTATTCGCCCAGCGCCACCATGTGACTTTCCTCCTCGTCTTCCTCCCGGGCCTCGGGTCTCTGGGCCACCGCACTGCATAGTTGATGAACATCAGTGAGGAACTCTCTTGCCAGCGTGTTACTGGCCCCACTCATGTCTGAGCTGCAACAGAAGACAGAAGAACACCAGAAAACATCAAAGAACCTCAGAGAACACCAGAGAACACCAAAGAACACCAGAGATTTTCCAGTCTTTTCAACACTGCAGAGGAAGCCAGGAAAATCGCCCCTCTGACGTTAAAAATGTGCAATTTTTTTTTCAAACTGAGCAAATGTCCCAGAACGAAGATCCAATCCCACCATTTATTCCGTTCTTGTCCAGCAAACATTTGGACACTTGTCCACAACACAAATGCACAGTGATGAAGAACTCAAAGCAAAATGTGGTGAAGATGAAACCTGATGCAATAATCTCAAGATTAAAATCCAACGTGACGTCAAAACTCTGTAAGAAGGGATACAGATTCCTCAAGAAAAGGACATTTTACTTCCTGGTTATCAGAGTGTGCCTTGTTGCACGAGACCAAGCTGCCACGCTCGTCTTCAACAACCATGTGCTCGTCTGAATGAGCTGCACTCTCTGAGCGTCACTTCTAACAAACCGCAAAATAAAGTTCTTAGTTAAACCGACGCGGCAAGAACTAAAGACATCAGCGCTGAAGAATAATCAGACACTTACATTTACAATCCAACAGCTTTATCTACAGAAAACATGTTCATCTAATGCAGAGAGGGCTGAAAGAATAAGATCTGCTATTAGTCTATGGTCATCTTACCAACTGTTACAGAACCAAACCGAGCCCTTCCACACATCGTGTCCATGCTCCAAACTTGACTAGCTGGATCTTCATACTTCCTCACATGACTGCTGACTGATTTCTCTGTTCTGCAGCACAAATTCCATTAAAATTGGAATTTCAAATGGACGCTTTCCAGATTCACTGCAGATCAGCGTATCACATGAAAGCATGTGATGTCACATGGCGAGGGGGCTGGTCTCAGGAACACTGACGAGCGCCCGGTGCCCTGTGCAAGACCTCTGTCAGTAGCAGTTGTTCACAGTCGTCGTTTTATTCTTTTGTATTTTCCGCTACGACTACCAGGACTAACTTAAAATCAGTTCTGAAATTAACTGAAAACACGGCGATGTGCTGCCGTCTGGGAGAGTTGCTTAAAAGTCGTGCCGCAGCGTTTTGGATAAGTTGAAGGCGGCTGGTGGAGGACTGGGAGGTTCAAACATTAAGAGCATTACAGTCGTTAAACCTCGGACTGATCAAAACCTTTTCCAGGTCAAGACTGTTTAAAAAAACTTGATCTTGGCTAATTGAACAAAACTGACTACAGAGGCTATTTGTTTATTTCATCAAAAGTGGCAGGACTGCATGACCAGAGGTCTCGTGAATCTCAAATCTTATATCTAATGTCTGTGATAATGCGATCTACGTGAAATCTGTGCGTTCAGAGCGAGAACTGCAGCAGCTGCTGGTGAGAATGAGCCTCTCTCCCAGGGCAGCAGCAGTTAACAACATACCGTATTTTCTGCCGTACACCGTGCACTGCCCTATAAGTCGCATCAGTCCAAATATGTCTAATAAAATGGAAAAATACATAAATGCGTCGCTTCACCGTATACGTTGCATCTATTATGTATCACCGCTGACAACCCAGAAATGTGGGCCGGTGTTGTGCCAAGAATTGACTGGCTGCCAAACGGTGACCGCGGGAGCGTGCACGGGAGGACTTTAACAGGAATTTTAATTCAATTCAGTTTATTTATATAGCGCCAAATCACAACAAAGTTGTCTCAGGGCACTTTACAGGAACATTCACATACATAAAAGCCAATTAGTAAAGTTCTCTATCTAAGGAATCCAGCAATTTAACAAGATTAACACTTAAAAACAATTTTTTGTTTGCCTGAAATTATAGCAAAGGTGTGTCTCAGTTGAGCTTTTCCTTGAGCCACCTGGTGGTGGATGGGTTAAATGCAGAGAGCCAATTTCGCCATTGTGTGGGAACATACAATGATGACCATACATACACATTATTATTATGATTATTAATAATAAATGCACTTTGACGGTCAAATCACCTGCATTTTCAAAAGCCGATCTGCAGAAGTATGAGCGTGTACGGGAGGACTCGCTGTGCATTTCTTCAAAATTTAACAAGATAACCACCTAAAATATTTGTTTGCTCGACATTATAGTAAAGATGTGTTTCAGTGGAACTTTTACTTAATAAATGCACTTCAATTGTCAAATCAGATTAATTTCACCGGGGCGGAGCAGCGAAATGCAGCTGATTTGACGATTGCTCCAGGCGAGCAGGACAAAGGTGGCAAACTATGGCAAGCCGATTGTGTCATTAATAAACACTTTTTACCTACTAAATGACAACGACATGCCATACTACTCGAGTGCCATCTAGCGGGTGAAAATGGTAGTTAATATTTTCAGAATGAATGAAAACGGTCATATCTCAGCCAAACATTGGTTTATAAATATGAGAAAAAAATCCATAAATACATCGCTTCGGTGTACAAGTCGCAGGGCATGCAAATTAGGCAACAAAAAAAAAACGTGACTTATAAGCCGAAAAATACGGTACTGATGCTGCTTTGAATAAGCTCAGTTGTTTAGGTGGACAATTGTAACCATCTAGGAAAATGCCAATAATCTTTAAAGAAAAAACTAAACACTGATTGGTACTTGTATCTAAGAAAACTCTTGATGTAATCTTTTTGTAGAAAATATTTATCTTCAACGCAGAAAACAAAAAAGATTTATTCCTAAGAAACACGTTTTTCCTCCTAGTAGACGCAATCTCTGGTCAATTATTCTGATCTTTATTCTTTCCGACTCCTTCACCTGCTTTGACCTCAAAGTTCTTTCACCATCACAAGACACTGATTAAAGAGAAGCAAACGAGCACGATGGTTTCCACGCAAAGGAAGTTGCTCAACTGCAGAGTTCATATTTTACAGTTTCCCCTCAAGTTTATTTAAAGCAGCGGCTTCTCTTTGGTTTTCTCTGTTTGGAGCGTCGGACATTAGTCATACGCAGGCTGAGTTAGCACAGCTCCATTGATCCACGTGGAAAACCAATAGAGTGAGGATTCCTGTGTACAAAGCACGGCCAAGACGGTCCAGAGCTGCAATGATGTCATGGAGACAAACAAGGTTTACCCTCTGCATCGATATATCTGGTTGTAGTGCAAACAGTAGGACGAGTGTGCACACACAAGATGTACTCTCCATTTGTTGCAATGTTGTTTACTGTATACATTGTGTTCTCCTGTTAGTTTTGTTCGGTGAATTTAAAATGAGAAAAAGTGGGCATGAAGGAAGCTGAGATGTACATTGTTAAATAGAAACTATTTTTGCTTCAATTTGGCCCATTATGCATCACGAAGGCCGTCCTTTGGAAATGTCAAGACCGTTCCAATCCTCTTACAAGTTTAACTAACTCTACAAATTAAATGTGCCGCACTGCAGCATAGAGACGCAACAAACGTGTCTTTGTGGTTCAATTTCTGTGATATTTCTGCCGTTCTGTGATTGATCCATTTTTTTTACTCATTTTAAAAAAGTATACTGTTATTAAGTAGCTTGTTTTTTCTTTGTTCGGCTGCTCCCTTCCTCAGAGGTCGCCACAGTGAGCGAACTTGCATGAAGGTTTGGCAATTGCTTTGCGTCTTTCTTGACGCAACCACCGAGATACCGCAGCCCATATGAGTGGAGCAGGCCTTGCTCAAGGGCCCACAGTAGGGCAGATGAGGGTAGAGGTAGGTGCGGGCGCTCCTAAGGCTCACATTCCTGAGAAGAATGCACATCACTCGACTTTTATGTCAGAGCTTTAGAGTAGGGCTACGTTCACACCGCAGGTCTTAATGCTATATTCCAATTTGTTTTGCTGAGATCTGATTTATTTGTTTATTATTTAGTGTGGTTGTTCGGGTTATAATTTAAACGTGACTCAAGAGTGAACAGTTTACAACCCGAAAGTGACTCGCATGAGTAGACCTGTCATGATAACAAATTTTGCTGGGCGATTAATTGTCTCAGAAATTATTGCGATAAACGATAATAATGTTTGAAATTTGACAATAATTAGTAATTATTGTCAAATTTAAGAGGAAATGTTTATTTTGTTTTGCATGTAGTACATTTTTTGATCACCGGATGGCAGCATAAGAGTTTAAACCGAAGGATGGATAGTGAGGGAGCGAGCAGCGTGTCTCTTTAAGAAAAATGGAAGGGAAGCCCCTTGATGTGACATGGGCTGTCTCTCTTCAGTTCTCAAAATGGCAGACGCTCGGTGTGGTTTGAGCTCTTTAGCATAGCATTTTTCACACAAAGCTTTTAATAAAAATAAAAAAAAATTCAGGAAACAAGTTCTCAGCTTTTTTTTTTGCAGAGAAAAACAACTTTTTACACGAAGGCACGGGTTTCAACTGTGAATTTTTGGAGCTTCGACAAGACAGAGGTTTTTGGTCATCCAGGACATGGCAAATCTAAAAAAAGTAAAGAGGAAAAAAAGCAACTGGATTTCTGTTCTGTAGCTGTGGTTGTGCAGAGTTCTGGGCTTTAAACTGCATACCAATGGCATCAATAGGATCAAGTCTTGAATCAATCCACACTCCCCCCACCTCACTGATGTAGAAGTCGATTGAAATGTATCAAATATATGTATGACCTGTGTATGTATATACTGGTATGTATATGTATGGATATATATGTATGATCTGTAGATCATGAAATCCTATGCCATAAGCGCTCAGGCTTCTCAGATCAAACTGTTGGTTGGTTTTCAAACCATCTCTCAGGTCGGAGGCAATGTGTTCGACATAACGGTCCTTCATCTAGCTATCGTAACGGTCACTAATGGTGTGCCACAAGGATCAGTTTTAGGACCCACTCATTTTATAATTTACCCACTATTTAAGTAATGTAATTCCTGATGCATCCTTGCACCTCTATGCTGACGATACTGTTGTTTATTGTCAAGCTAATACAGTTGCCAAGGTTTTCCAGCTTCTACAGTCTGCATTTGACATCATTCAGTCAAACTTATTCCATCTCAAACTGGTGCTAAATGCTGATAAAACCAAAGGGATGTTGTTTTCAAACAGAAAATTGGTGCCAGCAGTTCTTTCTCCTATTTCATCAATGCAATGTGTTCCTATTGAGTTTCATCAAAACATCCAACTAAACATCAAGGCAAATATGTTCTTGTTTTTAGTATTTTACCTTGTTTTATATGGCACCTTGATTTAATGTTTTATAACACTACTTTTATTTTAATTGCATTTTATTGTAGTTTATTGTTGTCTGTACTTTATAGGTTGTCTAAAAGAGGTGTTTTTTGTAAATGAATCCTCGTGACTCAATGAGACTAACCTGTATAAATAAAGGTTGAATGAATGAAAAATGTGAATTGAACATTCAGACTGAGGTCACTCTGAAAAACATTGGTTATTTAGCACCACATCTCAAAGTGACCTGGGTCAAAAGCCAAATGTTTCACATTCAACCCGTCGTAAAAAAGAATATCAGAAATCTGTTGCATTGGGTTAGAAAAAATAAAACCAGATTTGGGCCATTTTTGCCTGCAATGTGAATGTAGCCTAAGATATTAGAAGACAACAGAATTATTATAGCCGTTATGATCAAACCTTAAAAATAAAAACTATGAGCAATCCCATCCAACATTGCAATCCATCACTTGATTGACGTCACAATTGGTGCTTGTTGTGAAAGACACTCAGCTACTACCACACCACATTTTAGCTCAATAGTTCTAAAATTAGTCAAGTTACAGCCATTTTCAAGTTTGCTAAGATTACTTTGCAGTGGTAGCCATATTACATTGGGCTAACTTCAAAAATTAATCCATTGCAGATGTACACTTAATGAATACTTTCTGAAAGTTTAATTAAATTCCAATCAGTTATTGATGAGAAACAGACACGGGCAAAAACATTGTTCTGCCTTTGGGTTAAAATGATGAAAATCTATAAAAACAGTACGATTTATAGCTTCTAGTACTCCTATAATCCTTAAAGTAACTGGTTTTAGTTTTAAATACACATCTAGAAGACAGTTTCCTGTCTATTTATTGTGACAAAGGTTTTTATTCAACAGATATCCTCCTACAGCTACTGAAGCCGTCACTGACCTATGGTATAATAAAAGATCTTTAAGCCTGTAAAGCTGCTGTAATAAACTTCAGAATGTACAAAACCTCTATTGTACTGTAATACATGTACACAGAAATCTTACCAGAACTTCAGTGCATCATTGGCGTTTTGGTAGGGGTGGTGTTGCACGTAGTGGAAGAGACAGAGGAAATTCTCCAGCCTCTGAAGGCTGACCTGATAACAGACACACAAACAAGAAACAAGATTATTACTCGACCTAAAACACAGGAACCGAAATAACGTCTGCGCTCAACAGAACCAGTTCCTTTTCTTAAGAACACCTACAAAAACGTGTGAATTTAAAATACGTGCGAGACTCGTGCTTTAATCATAAATGTGAGATGCAGACCTGAAAGTCATTATGATCCATTTCTCCTTTTTAAACTTCCCAAAACTCAATTCAGTCAGAAAAAAAACCCGTATGGGAGGCACTAGTGAGTGGGACATGGATAAGATGTGAATTTCTAAGCTCCTGCAGGACCGACGATATTTTAATTAAAATGCTAAAATGTGCTTAGAAACCAAAGTACACTGGTTAGTACAATGTAATTATCAATTTATTTTGATTTTTAAGCATATTGAACATTTCCAAATTTCTCTGATGCTTATATTTGAATAAATAAACAAGAAACTTTGTACAACAGTTGGCTATGATACTGTTTAATAAATTCTATAACGTTTTTAATTCATAGCCAAGCGCTGCAAACAGATAGATTATTACGGAAGCGTTTAGCTGCAGTTTAACGCATCAATGACACGTGCTTAATAATATGTCATGTATCACTGGGCACTTTTAAATGGGTAAACTGAAATTCTTAAGCTTTTCTAGTGGGTATGCTCCGTATACCTGAGTAGCACGTAAGCTACACCACTGCTTTGAGTTGAACTGAATGGCAGAAAAGCTTCAAAAATACAAAAGTTCAAGAAAAGCGCTTCGTGGCCTGTAAGAGCCACGAAGCAGAGAACAACCAAGGAAAACTCACTCCAACTCCAAGTGAAAGTCAAAGTACGGCTGAAGAACTTAAAGAGGATATTTTACAATCTCTAAAGGAGAATATTTTCTAAATGTTACAAGAGGAGCCCAAATGTACGTTGTTGGATGACTTTGATGCTTCGGTGCGAGTCGACAGAACTAACAACATGGCCGCCATCTGGACTGAAGTGGACCACGTTAAAACGCACATGCAAGACATGAAAGGCCTGTCGTCACGGTCTGATGAGGTGACCACGCTTCAGGCTACGGTGACCAGCCTGCAAACTCAAATGTCAAACTTAAAAGACCGGTGCGAGGACATGAAGGGAAGAAAGAGACGATGTAAAATATGAATTGCCAGCATCGAAGAACGTCCTGAGTCAAGCTCCCCCACAACAATCATTAAAATTATTACAAAGTGTTTCTGAGAGGGGCCACGATGATCATCGCCAAGCTTCTCAATGTTGGAGATGTGACAGAAATCCTGCGGAGGGCTAAGGAGACAGCTCCGCGGACCTACGAGGGACGACAGGTCGCCATCTTCCCAGACTAAACAGCCAGCGCCGCCAAAGCCAGAGCTGCTTTTACAGAGGTACAGAGGAGTTCATTCATTCATTCATTCATTCATTCAACCTTTATTTATACAGGTTAATCCCACTGAGCCTCGGGGACTTTACAAAAGAGATGAAGCGAGGCCAAAAAGGAGGCCAATATGGATTGCCACCGTCAGCTGTGGAACGTTTGATTCTGCAGCCTGCACGCATGTGAAACAGCTTTTTTCAGACTAAATGCTTACTTGTGCACATTACAAGTGAGTTTTTGCCCTTTACACCCAAATTAAAACATATTTGTCAGACGAGATCAGAGACGGGACTCCTCAGTGACTGTCCCCGGAAACATAAATAAATAAAAACGCGAACAAAAATAAATGTGACTGACTTTTCCCCTAAAGACAAGACGAGGGTTAAGCACGAGTCAGACCAACTGACCTCCATCAACAGCATTACTGCTTCCAGGGTAACGTGTTCAAACCGTCCTGACAGACGTGGGAGTCCCTAAGCCGGTGTGCTGCTGCCATTGCACCACACAGGAGCTAGGTTTATGCTAATCTGACACCATAGAACGGATTCATTTAAGGCCATGCTGATCCCCGAGTGATGTGGCTGCCTTTACCGCCTGGGTCAACAAGCCAAACAGGCACCGCCGTACCGATCACATGACAAACGCTCGACGCTCTGACCTACGATGGCATAGACGCATCGCCAACAGAATGAAAAAAAAAAAAGCTCAGCTCTAATTAACAGCAATTAGACACACGTCAAGGTTGAAAATACACAAACATTTTTGGAAAAGGTTTTCAAAACATGCAACAAAATATTTGATCTGTAATTTTATTCCATTATTTTCTGTGTTAAACTAATTTATTTATGTTTAAAAAAAAGTTTTTACAAATTTAGATTTTATCCAGCACTGAGCACAAATGCTTGATTTATTTTAGAAAGTCCTAGAATTCCTTGAATAAATTAAAATCACCCGCCACACTGACAGAGTTCTCAGAGTGATCTGAAACGTTTTAAATTCTGTCATAGGCAAGGTAGGCCTGTGTAAAATACAAGAAAAATGGAAAAATAACAGTTTCTTTAACGTTTTGTTGATAGATCAAGCAAAACAATTCCTGTATTTATTGTCCAGACGCATGTTCAATAATCCAAACAGATAAATCTAAAAGTTAAGTCAGGTCCTCTGGACGGGTTATTTTTTTTTTAAACGTTTCGTCTTTTATCTAAAAGGCTTGGTCAGTCTGAGCTGCAAACAAACAGTCTCAGAACTTATAAGCAGCACTTTCTCAAAGTGAATCAACCAGTTTTCTGGTGATAGCCAGAACCAGCTGTTGGACCATCGGGCTAACAGCTGGTCGTCAGTGCTCTGATGGCTGCTTGCTATTCACAGGGAGCCGAGTGATGCAACAACAGCATTGTAAGAGGGTGGGATGTGAACATCTTTGTCTGTGAAAGAGTGACCTCAGGCGTGAGTGTAGACCGCAGAGTCCTGGCCTAACGATGGTGCTCTTCTGTGCTGGCTCATCCTTTTGGCCAGAGGCTGTTTAGTTTCCCTGATGTAAGACTGATCACAGCCCTCCTGACCAGATGTCTAGATCTGGTCTCCTGGCACAAACAGAAATATTGTGTATGCTGCATGCTTTAAAAAAAAAATGGTGGGTTTGATTCTTGTGAAGGAGATGCTCATGATTGGCATCTCTCTCTAACCAATCGGTGGCCTGAAGTCTGCAGACGTCAAAACTTCAGCTCCACTCACTCAGAACCTCAGCCGAGGAGGTTCTAGGAACCTAGCTGGAAGCAGGCGGGATCTCCTGATGAAATGACTGAATTTGCGCCGAGTCGAGCTCATGGAAAACGGCCATTAACCTAAAACTCTGGCATGAAACACAGCGGGCGATATGCATTCCTTCAAGGAGCTCTAGGGCTTTAATTTACACTGTAAATGCTCCGTTAGTCAAAACTAAAAACAACTTTTTTTTAAAAACAAATACGGATCTTAAAATCAAAAGAACTTAATGCGGACTTGATTTAGAAATGTTTCCTAAGGAAGGAAATGCAATCAATCTAGACAATGAGACAAAAATGAAAACGTTTTACAAACGCAGCTGATTATTTTTTTATTTTATTTTTTGGGGGCTTTCAAGAAAAAAAAAAAAAGTTTAGGTTAAGACGACATTAGATTCTGTAAAATCTGGCGGCATTCGTTTTAAACTAACAACGGCTGTGTTACAGTGACAGGACCACAAAATAAGAGGTCATTTAGAGTTCATGGTTATGTTTCTGATATTCCGTAAAGTGGTTTTCAAAATGGTATTTTGTGTCCAACTGGTTTCTTTACACCACAGCTCTGATGAATCAACGCCTTCCTCTTTGTCTCAACTGTCACAGTCAGCTCTTCTCCAGGTTTCAGCCTCTCAGATGACTTTTAAAGACATTTAATGATAAACCAAAAGCTCTTCTTTAATTTTAAAATAACCTCAGATGCCGGGTGATGAAGGTGCAGAGTGGACCACACTCACCGGGGTCAGGGAGGGTCAGAGACACGTCAACAGCTGAGACAACAACCAAACCCAGAGCAGTGATGGGAGCTGATGGGCAGGTGGGTGGGGGTCACAGAACATCAGGCGGTCAGGAGACGGAAAGGGAGGAGAAGAGAAATGAACGGGTTATGGCTGAGACTGGAGGGGAAGAGAGGAAAGAACATGAAGGTTGAGAAACGAGAGAAAAATCAACAGATGAGAGAAGAGGTGAACGCAGAGATGAGACGTCAAAGCTGCCAGAATGTTTTCCATTTGAGCTCTGAAGCTGTAAACTAAACTCGATCTATTTAATTATTCTTCTGAGCCTAACCTGACTTTATCTGCATACCTGCGCTGTTGTAGTCCTCAAATAGGAGAAGGAAACCAACTAATCCACGAGAAAACCAATTCTCCCACCAAGGATTAGTTTTTTCCTCCGAGGCTTTTATCCAGCAGATGCTGCACCAAACATCCAGAGTGATTCAATGATGGAGAGGAAGAAAAGCTCTAAACGTATTTCTGCTGACAGGAGGAGGCTTTTCTCTCAACTGCAGAAAAACAAGTTGGATTTTAACAAAATTAATTTTCTAAATATTTTATATACATGTCCTGATAAAAGTCCATTTGTTTGTAAAAGTCATCATTTTGGTGGGTTTTCATTTCCCCTGAAAAACTGTACAAATTAAAAAACATATGTTAAAATTACTGCTGAAATTTACCGAAAAAGCTGAAAAAGAAACAAGACTAGTGAGAAGTAGCCAAAAGCTAGTAACAACTAAAAGCTACAAAAAGCTAACTAAAAGTTAAAAGTAGAGAAAATGCTACGTAAATGCTAAAAGAAGAAAACGCTAACAGTAGCAAACAGCTAGCTAAAAGTATCGCAAGGCTAGATTTTGTTATGCTTAGCTTCAAGTATCAAAAAGCTAAACAAAACAAACAGCTAAGTAAAAGTAGCAAAATGCTAACTAAATGCTAAGTAGCAAACACTAAATAAAGAGGCAAAACACTTATTAAAGGAGCAAATGGCTAACTTACAGATAAAAATAGTAAAAGGGTAGTTAGAAGCTAAACGTAATAAAAAAGGTTAGCTAAAAGTTAAAGCAGCAA